TATCTCTGTTTTCTAGTAATAATAATAATAATAATAATGATAAATATTTTTATAGTTAATAATATATTTTCATATAATATATTTTTTTAGTTAATAATTTTTAACGTTTTTAAATCCTTCGGTATTCTCGTATTTTTAATATTTAAAAATTCGTATTTTTTTGTATATACTAATTTTGTTCTAATTTTATTTGTATCTTTATTTTCTCACTTTTTTCAAAATTTATTGAACATATTTTAACAATATATTCTTAATTTTTTAGTTTTCCAATGATCATGATTTTGAATGCTTTTAATTTTTTAATCTTCTGAATTTCTTTCCTTCAATTTGAATTATATTTTAATCTATTTAATATTAATTAATATTTATTTTACAAGTCTTCAGTATAATGATATTATAATAAGGCTCAAGTAAATTAGTATAATTATCTTAAATTTTAAATAATATTAAACAAATTATTTAAAAAAAATGTAAATAACTAAACTTGCTTCAAACCGAATTAAACTAAAAGAACAATGTATTCGAATTCAAAATTCAAAATTTTCAATGAACATTCTGTTTTTAGTTTAGTATTAAGAGCATATAACTTATTCCTAATAAAATTTTAATTTTTTTGGTATTAGGACATTGTCAAATTACACACACACACATATATATATATATTTATATAATTTATAATCTAAATAGTAATTAACCTCAAGTCGACTACAATTTAATTAACAAGTACGCATAAAATTAAACACATCTGTGCAAATATATAAATATCTACTATTACACTAATAAAAATAATTTCGAATTCAAGATAACAACAAATATAATATCATATGTATGTTATCTAAACTACTACAGAAATGTTTACAATGCTCCGATATCAATAAATTCGATATGTGATAAGAAAACATCAATCATTTTTCAAAAACCGCGGTTATGCAATTTTATCACGAGGAATATAAATAGTATCATAAATATGTATATATATATATATATATATATATATATATGTATATATATATATTAGGGTGGTCCTTAATATGGACATTTTCAAATTTCTTTGCTCCCAAGGGCTCAAATGGTTCCAAATTAATGAAAAAAAAATCTCTAAAAGTTTTAGCTCTTAATATTAACATTTAGATAGTCCGCAATTTAATTAAAAGTTTTGTATATTTTTTTAAACATATATCGTTGAGTAAATTTTTGCGCCATCTGTGATAGCAGACTTGTAATTTTCATGAAAATTTATTACTGATAATTTGAGTATCAACATCACCAATTAAATAAATATTTTGCTGCAAAATTAATTTTGATGTCATCATAAATAAATATTTCGTTAAATAATAAATTTTAGTTCGTCTACATGGATTTAATTAGAGGTTGAGTGATTTTTAAATATTTTTAAGTTTCATAATATTTGGGTTCACAAATGCTATCACAGATGAAATGAGCAACTTTTAATTGAATTGCGGACTGTCTAAATGTTAATATTGAGAGCTAAAATTTTTAGAAAATTGTTTTTTATCAATTTGGAAGCATTAGAGTCCCTGGGAGCAAGGAAATTCGAAAATATCCATCCAAGGACCACCCTAATATATATTTACACATATTTCATAAATGAGTCTACGTTCTATAAGTAGTACCTACAGCAGATTATTATATTACAAATTCAAATGAGCAATACCTTGTCTCCATAATAATTATTCAGGGGATTCTTGTATTCCACCATTGTAAATTGTATAAAAAATTTCCCCTTTTCCCATTATTAATTTTTTCCCCCGTTGTTGTTTATTTTCAGCTTATTTAAACGATTGCATGACCGAGAAGTGTTTTATTGTGTGACGCATAGAAAAATAAAGTTGATTCTACACTCGGATAAGGTTTTCCCCTCTGACTAAACCTGGTCATTGAATATACGGAACGTGGAATCGTTTTGTAATATTAAGAAATAGTAAACTAGTGGTGTATGGCATCGTGCCTTAAGGCAAATTGCTAGAACTTTCCGTATCGTAATGAAATGTACGAGGAATCTCAAATGTTTTCAAATAGATCATTATAAATTCTGTTACTTTCATTATTTGCATTTTATAGACAAAATGTAAGAGCTTGACAAAAAAATTGTATCCACACATACATACACACACATCATTTTTTTTTTCGAAAGTATTCCAAAATATTCTGAGAGTCTTGAAACGTGAAAATTGATTTTCCAAAAAAAATTGCATTTTCAATTGCTAGGCTATAAATAAGGCCTAATAAATTCTACAATACTTAGGACATTCATAAATGATTCCAAAGATGTTTGAGAAATTTATTTTGTGAAAACAAAACTCTGTAATAATAATAAACGATTCTTGTCGGTTTTACCATTATGATTAAAAATTCAATTTTTAACTTAGACAATTATATTTTAAACTAAATAGTTTTCAAATAATGTGCAAAACCTTAAATATTATTAAATATGAAGTATAATATACTCTTTGATATACTGTACAGAAGCTATTATAAAATTATATGCTATTTTGGTGTGTATGTATGTGCGGATACACTTTTTTATCGACGTTTTTAAGAGCACGGATCAACCGATTTGAATGATTTAAAAAATATTTTGTTTGTATTGACAGTTTAAAAAATATTTTGTTTGTATTGACAGATGATATGAT